AATCAGGGGTTTTAGACACTAAATTACGGTCACATGAGTATCTAGGTGGAATCCAAGCTTAGGAGTTTTAGGCATTTAATCAAGGTCAGGTGAGCGTATTTTGTAACCTCATTATTTGTTGACACTGGTACATTCTTTCTTTCTTGCTCTCTTTCTTTCTATTTCTTTTTAATATACTTTTTCAAAAAAGTGTGCGTGTGTGGGGGGGGGGGGGGGGGGGGGGGGGGAGCTCGAGGCTCCCGGTTTCTGTCGTTCCGCAGGCCCTGAAATGTAGGCATATCAAGAAGCATATTTGTTGCCTGGCTGTAAATTTAGAAATTTGTCATTTTCCAACAAACGCATAAAAAAGTATAATTTACTAAAAAAGTGAGGAAAAATCTCGGAAAATTATGTCATATCAGCATTATTTGTAAACCACCTTATGGAATTAGAAATAAACCACGTTTTAATTTTATTTCCGCCATTCCCCCCCCCTCTCCCATCACCTATCAGTACGCCAGTGCCCCCCCCCGATCAACACGTTGTTGGCGGGAAAATCGCAACTGATCTCCCTTACCTTTCTTTCTTTTTTTCTTTCCCTTTCTCTCCTCTTTTCCTGTCCCTTCTTTTCCTTCTCTCTTTCTCTCTCTCTCTCTCTCTCTCTCTCTCTCTCTCTCTCTCTAATACTAAAGGAATAAGTGCATTTGTTGAAAGAAAAGGGGCACCGATCAGATTTTAATAGGGGCATGTATCGAAGGAGAAAGGGTGCTTTTATGAGAAGAGGGAAGTGGCCCTTATTAAAAAGAAGAGGAGCATTTATTAGAAAGGAAAAGGGGCACTTATCAGAGATGAAAACGGGTAATAATGAGAAGGGGAAGGGGCACTTATAAGAAGATAAAAAGGCATTTATTACCAAGAAAAAGGGGCACGTGTTCGAAAAATAAAGGGGCATTTATTTGAGGTGAAAAGGGGCACTCATCAAAGATTATAAAACAAAACAGGGGAACGGGCACTAATTTTTTGTCAAAGTAAAACGAGCATCTATCAGATTTGATTTTTTTTTATTATCGGAGGTGAAGGGGGCGTTTATCTGAAGTGAAAAGGGGCACTTTTAGGAATGAAAAGGGGGCATTTAAGAAAAGGGGAAAAGCCCCTTTTATTAATGGGACCATTTATCATTAGAAAAAGGGGCACTTATTAGAAATGAAAAGGGGCACATGTGAAAACAAAAGGTGCGCTTACCCGAGTTAAAAAGAGGTAGTTATTAAAAGGAGAAGGGGCATTTGTCAAAGTAAAGAGGGCTGAATAGGGCAATTATCAGAAGTGTAGGGGCACTTATCAAAAGTGAAAAGTGGCCCTTCTCGTATAGGCCTACCTGAAAAATGGGCATTAAAAAGGGCAGTTATGAGAATAGAAAATGGACACTTATTGCAAAGTAAAGTGGGAACTTGTCAAAGGAAGAGAGACACGTGTCAAAATAAAAGGGGTACTTATCAGAGTTAAAAAAGGGAAGGGCTACTTTTACAAAGTGATAGGGGCACTTTTTCTACGTAAAATGGGACACTTGTAACAAAGTTAAAGGGGTACTTTTCCTATGTGAAAAGGGGCACTTTTGAGGTACTTGAAAAAATGGGGGCACTGTACCTGCACCCTTCTCTGTTGCACTGCAATGGGGAGGAAAGCCAGCGTACGTGCTACCAATAAGGGAGTTATAGTTTCTCTAAAACGTTTAATCGAAAGCAAAAATGTGCGCTTCTTGGTTGACGGTCACGGCCAATGGAGTATAAGAGACTAGATTTTATATATTTTTAAAGCTATCGACTTTAACTCGACATTGACCTACGTCACATTAATGCTAGAAAATTATATTTACTCTCTATATCGTATGACATTTTAACTAAATAATGATGCAGGCTGAAAACTTTTTCCTTTCTCTCATGTACGTCACATGCCGAAAATTCTTGTCTGAATCTTATTGTTTAATCGGTGACCATTGGTCCCCCATGATCCTCTTTTTCTTATGTTATTTGAGAGCTGAGTTGATGAGATAACCACCTGTCCAGTGACCTTGCAGTGTTGTCTAATCCCTCCTTTACACTAGTGCTGATGAGCTTTAAAAGAAACCTCACCCCCCCCCCCCCCGAAAAAAGAAGAAGTAATAACTCTAATTATTCTGAGAGTTAAAAAAAAAAAATTGTCCATTAATTTACAGAATTTCTCACCAAAGCGTATGGGAGATAAATCTTTTGTATAGGCCTACTATAATACCCACCGGGCAGAGATTCTAAGCCTCAACTTATATGCTCCCGGGATATACGTAGAGATTCAGATATGACTATTTCGGGCCCGAGATACATTAGGAAAGATAGCTTAGGTACCAAATTTAGGTAGAGAAGGGCCACTTTCCTAAATCAGTAAAATAGCTCCCAGGCAAGATGCATTTAGTTATTTCTAAAGCATGTAAACAGTCAATTTGGCTTACAAAAATTTGAATGAAAAATTGAGCTGTAGGTCGACATCGATCCCCATTCAAAATATCTCTTGGCACATCCTCAATGTGATGATAGTGATTACAAGATGTTAGGACGGATGTGTGAATTAAGCTAGGACAAACCCTAACTCGGACTTCTAATTTTAAACATGGACCAAATGCTATATGGGACCTATATGTAATCCTCTCCCGATCTTAGAACTTAATAGTTACGTATGCCCATACAATTCAATTTCAAGCTCCATGATATCTTATATAAGACCCAAATCAAATGTCCTGGTTGATGCACATCAAACATAATGAAGAATGATACAATTCCTGTCTTTATTCGTAAGATATCAAGAAATTAGTCGATTATGATGCTGTTTGATTTGTCTTGCTTGATAAGGATGTTTTCTTTGTTTGTAATATATATTCGTTGATACGTTCAAGGCAAGGCAAGGCAAGACGTGATGACATTTATTTTGTGTGCCAGGCAGACTTTTGTACCATATCAGCCGGGTCCGGATTAGGACTCCGGATATCAGCACATATAGTTATACATGTACCCGTGTAGGCTTCATTGACCAATAAATTAATTACATATACTAACAATGTATCTCTGGTAATTAATGAATCGAGATGAACATGAATATGATACTTGTATTTTATAGATCTTTGCAATTATGAGATAACATATGTGTGTGTATCATTCACGTGTAAAATCAACAAAACATGTACAGAAACGTGCAAATATCTGATTTCAAAATGATATAAAGGTTACAGCGTCATTGTAAAGGAGACATGTGTATGTGTGTAACATGAGATAACATGCTGGGGTTCAATAATTTTAGCGTTTTAAAGTAATAAATGATTTAATAAATCTCAATGTTATCGTCATTATTGTGGATCGTCTCATCAACGCCTAAGTTGGGCGAGTGAGACAAGATGGGTAACCCATGTTCCGAGTTTCCGGGGAAACAAACTTGTTTAAATATCCCATTTAATTTTCTCCATATAAAGGGCGATCCAAGATTGCCTGAACAGGGACACCAATTTTTCATTTCCCCCCAATAGTAACACTTTTATCAAGAACATGACTCTGAAAGCTCCACAGGTCCCCTCAAAATTGTGGGGGGGGGGGGGGGGGGTGGGTCGGTGGGGAGAGCATAGGCATTTGAGGCCGAAGAGGAAAGGGCTACAGCCCAAAAGAAAATATGAAAATACAAATATTTGGGGCAACCATCACCTCAATCTCTGGCAGTATGGTGACCTCATATCCGGGCTGTGAAATCAGTAGGTCCATGCATGGCGAGATGACCAATATCCTATTATTCAGGCAGTGAGGTGCCTGCATAATGGATTAGTATATATTAAAATCTCCGGTGTTATATATTTTGATGACAAAATAACATTTTAACCATAATAAACTACCAGTACTATTTTTGCTCACTCTCCTCACTCGCTTGCAAAATCTAAAAACAGGAAATGAAATGAAAATTGAAATAAACCAAAGAGCAAAAGTTGCAGGGACATTTGATTTTGTGCCCTCCACATTCCCAGTTGTGTGCGTGTGTGGGGGGGGGGGATACAGCTTTTCCTTGGAATTTGACGACGGGAACCGTAACGAAACTGGAATCAGTCGAGTGCTGGTCTTTTGTGGTCTCCAAGCTAGAGGTCGTCAAGAGGGGTTAAATAAATCGAAACAGAGAAATTTATTCAACATGACCGCAAAGATTTCTAATGAATCAACCCAAGGCAGTTTAAATTACTGTAAGGTATCAATAATCGACGCACTAGGCTTCTGAATAATCCATCTTTAATAGGTTAATTAAATAAGAATAAAGTATCCACAGAAGGCAATTCATGTTATCTTCTTGTTTATTTTTCCTAGTTCTTTCCCTTCTCTCTAGACTTTCTATTTCTCTCCTTACCTCAAATCAATCACTCCAACTAGTCACCATTCGTTTTCTATCTCTTTCCTTCACTCTCTGTCAGCTAGCCCTCCCGCTCAATCCATGTGTTTCCAATTCATAACAGTGATATAACAGAATGAGGCTCCAATTGTTTTAACTCAGAGAACATGCAGTCATGGCACCCATAATTTCCAAAACTCTTTGGAAACACATAGAGACGTTATAATGTGACATGCCCTATACTAGAACCGACTATGATTATCATTATGTATTATCACATGATGAAGCATGTATCTCACAAGAATGATGGTGTTCAAGACATGCAACAAGCACAAAGTAGTGGGATGTTTAACTTTCAAGTTTCCAGCAAAAACATTCAATTTTTCCTGTCTTTCAGTTAATAACAATAATTTGTATTATCTTTTTTTTTGGAGGGAGGATTAATTTTGTTTTTATAGCCAACAAAAATGTTAAATAGTACTGATGCTATACCTTTTCCTGTTCCAATATAGTGTGGACTGACAGACAGACAGACAAATGTAACACATAACTTCATCAGGCATTGGAATGAAAACTGACAAATAAAACCAATACTTGAAAACAAGCTGAAACTTTTCACAAATAAGATGCAATACTTCATGTGTTTGTGCTCCGGACAGACCAGTTTTTATTTCTTCTAATAAACAAAATGTAAATAAATTCTACACAAAATATCTCCCACAGCAAACGAGTTTCTCATGTTTTCTCCAAAGTAAACTAGAAAAACAGTTCTTGGTGTGGAATATTTCAGATATACTTTATTTTTATCCTTTATATAAATCATTGAAAATCCCTTAATGATCCAATATTCCAGAAGAAAAAAAAATTGATGAAAGAGGGAGAAAAAGTGAGATTTTGCTGAGCAAGGGATTTTTACAATTTTACAATAATGGTGGAATGAAATGCTGCTAACCAAGAATATAATCAAAATCCATCCAAACATTAAATGGCGAAAAGAACTTGTTTCACAACGCCACTAGGGTTCAAAAGGAATGTAGTTCGAGCCTCAGAATTCATTTTGAATTCATACACATCAGAATACAATAATAGGAATCTCTTATAATAGGCTACTTTTAGACATCTTGATCTCCATAATTGAAGCAAACAGTAAGGCATACTAAGACTAGTATCATATTGATTGCTGTCCTTTAACAGACATGAATTGCCGGATGTAAATGACATAAGATTAAAATCTCCATAGGAAATCATTATGTTCCTCATCTATCGAGTCCATTTCAGTAATAGAAAGGTGAATTTTCTATGTATGGTATATTCCTGTAATCCCAATTTAATCTACAGAAATTCAATATAATTAAATATCAATTATTATTCCACTGTGTTCCTTCACTCCTCGTAAACTTCCTAAATCATTTTTATTTTGAGAATAAATCAAAGAGAATACTGAAACAGGAAAAAACAAATAGCTATTCATTTGTGATTTAGAATAAAATTTTGACTACACATGCATTCCTAAGATATACACAATGAAATACATTCCACAATGAAAAAGACTAGCACCTTCAAAATATACCCAAACCCATATGCTAGTCATCAAAGTGCAAGAATTGACAGAGTAATACAAATATATGGAGTAAATTTTCAGCAGACCTGTGTACATGAATCGATTATCGATTTGAAGAGATAAAATCTTTTGGCAGTTGAACTGATTGACATTGCAATCAACATTATATATACCAATGCACAAGAGAAGTAGAGAGTGCACCCCCCCCCAACCTACTGGCTTTTCAAGGCAAACACCACAAAGAAATACTTGACAATTAGTCAAGGAGAAATACATATAATACATGGTTGAATATGAACATTTGACCAAGTGCCCTCTGCAAAGATAAGAGAAGATTTCTATAGTACTTATAGTTTACTATCAATTCTTGGAAAGCTGCAACTTGACATAGAAATGAAATTTAATACCTTGATTTTGATCAAAATAGTACCCTTATGTTAGAAGGAAGAAATCATGCAAGAGAATCCTGGAGTTTCTTGTCGGATTCCTTCAGTCCGATCCATGTGTTGAGCTGACGAGCACGGACCCGTCCCCAAACAACGTGATTGGTCAAGCCGAAGATTTGAGCAGCCTGCCAGGCAGCGCCCTCTGGTGACAGAGTGGTGGTACATCCAAGTCCTGTATAAAAGCATGGCAAAGAGGAGAGAATCACTCATGGATCTAGGCAAACTGCTTTTAACCAAACTTTTTTTAACCTATATGTAATACTAGCGATCATTATCAATTTACAGTGCATTTCAAGGAATAAGTCCAACCAAGTACCCACCTAATAGACTTACATAAAGAGTGGCGAATAAAGATAAATGTCTTGCCAAATTATATGGGTATAGCACCAGAGATATTCATGTTCCAAACAACCTGACCCTGACAGCTCTACAAGCATGATGCAATGCATACATTTTCCAGCTATATAGCCACACCTCCTTAACCCTCTGAGAAACTGAATATTTAAATGTGTTCTTGAACCAATCTGCATTCAGATGTGTGGCTTTGCGTTTCTATGCATTGTTGCTTGAGGAACTCTTACCTGATGGCAAGCGAAGAGAGGACCAGATGTCTTGCGCACCCCAGTCAGCCTTGACTGGTGGACAGTTGATGACAGGGAAGGTTGCGTTCCCTGATAGAACAGGTCCTAAGCCGTTACTCCTACCCGCTACAGCAATGAAAACTGCAGGGATACCTAGCGACTCGTAGTACTTCAGGATGCGAAGGGTCTCGTCAGTGCCCTTGTGCGCTGAGGTCACTCGGAGGTCACAATGTAAGCCAAAGGATGAGCACTCGTTCTTGATCTTCTCTCCATGGGGTATGTCGCTGGCCGAGCCCATCAACACCACCACCTGGGCCTTGGGTTTGGGAATAAAATCCTGAGAGAAGACAAAGAGACATGATTACTTGAACAAACAGCATTCCAGGAGTCAAGTTGGCTCAGTCAAAGAGGATGCAGAATGCCTAAAGGTAAAGACCAGTAATGAAAACGCCCCCCCCCCCTCAAAAAATGAAATGGAAGCTCTTATTACCAATCATGTGAAAGAATATGTTTTGACTAATACGTGATACAAATTTTCTGAGAAATCGCCTACTAATTGATATATTTGGTAAATTATTATATCTATTTAGACCGGACAGATGTTTCGCACGTGTCGCCCACGGGTCGCGTAGTCCCATGTACATCTTCCTGTGTACAGTCCTTGTAACTTTACCAAGACTGGGCCAAATTCTTATCATTTTGATGATTCCAGAACCTTGCAGTACACACCAATATTTATATGCTAGATGATCAACCTTTTCTAATCGTTTCCACAACGTTTCTTTCACAATGCAATCGCATGACCATAACTGGTCTTTAGCTTTAATAACAGGAATGAATGAAGTACCAATGAAAATGTGTCATGTGCTATACAAAGGAATTTAGCATTGTTATGAGCTGAGCTCTAGTTTATGGAGTTTCTGCTCTTATTTGTCATCAAAATGGTGACTACAGGTTGACAAGTAAAGTACTGTCTCCATGAAGATCAGAGTGGCACCTTACAACAAGTTGATTTAAATTAGTCCAAAGTCCTTATACCAATCACATGACTGTTAATCTCAAATTAGGAGTCCTGGTTATTCTAAACACTGAATTAAAAAAGAGGAATTCGTTTTGTGTTATCCTCAATACATAATGCAAAAGTATGAATACCAATAAGAAATGGGGAAAATATTTCAACAGTAACAAACGTACATGCGTTTTTTCTCCGCTCAAATTTCCAAATCTCTGTAAGATAAATCCTACAACTACTCTTAGCCAGGGCTGACCATTTCCATACACTATCTGTTTATAACATTCATCTCTACAGGATCCCTGTTACACAAAATCTAGCAGCAGGGGGGTTCAATATATACACTAAAACCAGTAAACATACAAACCACTGTGGTCTCTGTAGGAAGACAGTCCTTATACACAGATTAATTACATAACTTTCATGAGCGAGTATCCAGTATTTGTATCAGTGGGTTTTTCCAATGTTGTACATATGACCTTTATCTGCCCATGCGTAGATAGTATCTATGAAGTGGCTTATAAAGCAGGTTGGCCTGTAATTTTCTTCTGAAAATGTTCTGATGAAGGCAATACTTACGTCCAGCTTCTTTGCAACCCATTCAAAGTTCCTCTTAACTTGCTGGAGGGCATCGTCGGTGACCTCCTTGAGGTCACGGTAGACCTGTTTGTCCACCATCAGTCGTTTGTCTCCTGCCGGCCACAGACGCCACGAATCACTGTCGATGATGTCAGCAAGCAAGATCTCACCTGGATAACATGAAAGGAAATTGCTGGGTAAATATTCTGAATTTCAGGTGGTTATTGTTTACATAAGCCTATTTCATACTTCTCAATTTAGATTTGTTACAGCTGTGAATAGCATAAGATGAAAGCTTTTTCATCCAAATCACTCAAATATTAAGAAATACGACAGAAAAAGTATTACATGAAATATAATTTAAAAAAAAATTATACTTTTTGTCTGCATTAAACTTTCAAGAAATTTATGAGTAATCCAGAATCATGAAAGATTTATGCCACAAAATAATAAAATTGTATACCACAGAACTTTTGCAATTTGCAAAGTTTCTAGCCATGACAATGGCCGCCCTAAATAATTTGCCAAACTTTCAAGCCAGGAATGATTCTCATTTAAATTAAGCTCCAACTTGAATAATGCCATTCTAAATACTTGCCTGTCTCGGCATCTACACCAAACTCAATCTTCATGTCGATGAGAGTGCAGTCTAGAGCTGCCCAAGCCTTCTCCAAGACTTCAAACACGGTGACGGTCATACGACCCATGATTTCAATCTCATGGGCTCCGATAAGACGACCTCCATGGGTCATCTTGGCCTCAATCAGCTGGGCATAGGACCACTCAGGATCACCTGCAGCATCATCCTGCAGGGAGAAGGGGATAATAAGAGAGAAGGTGATGTAAATGGGTACCTGGTAGGAATTAATTCCTTGAAATGCTGGAGCACTGTATAAACGGCTGCTAGGCTAAAGCCAGGGTAATAATAAATGTGCCTCGGAATAAATTTATCTAGATAGATGGCGCTATAGAAATGCCTATTATTATTATTATAGGGGAGACAGAGATAGAAGGGAGAGTAAGAAAGAGAGGGAGAAGGAAAGGGAGAAGGAGAGGGAGAGGGAGACAGAAATTGCATAAGTTAAACTTGGCTTTAGTGTCTACTGATTTATGGAAGACCAAGTGTCAAAAACCGCTTGAATTACTATAATTATTCAACAAAATAAAGACAAAAATAATTTGGTCATGAAATTAAAATGAGAATTTAAACAATAACTATAAGTGAGAGAATTATGTTCCATTGGACAGGATTAAGAGGTTGCCATTTAGCTCTCCATAACTCTATAATCTAACTCGGCACACTTGATTTATGTGGTGGTCAAGGAATTCAAGAAAACTATTGCTCAGCACCTCCAGAAAAACAGCAATTGTCTTGACGTGGTCGATTGGATATGTCACCAGACTGTGGATCACAAGGTCCGCGGTTCGAATTCTGCCGTGGCACTTATGTCCTTTGGCAAGACATTCCCCCTTTTCACACAGGTAAAATTATTTATAGCTGATTAGTTTAAAGAGCTTTAGATACAACATCATTCACACACAGAAAATTTTGGTGCGGTTGTTCGAGATTCACTGCTCTTTAAACGCTCAGTAGGGCCATTGCGCATTTACGAGCAGTCACTGCTTGTAAATGCGCAATGGCCCTACTGAGCGTTTAAAGAGCAGTGCCCGGTCTAGTTAAGGACGTATATCGGTTCACACACAAAATGTCAAGCTCTCTATAAACAGACTGTGTATCTGCAGCCTACTTTGACCGGCGTATGAATCGCGTCTTCGTATCTGTCCGAAAGGGAAAAAATTCTTTAATCAGCTCTAAATACGATGAATTTTACCCGTGTGAAAAGGCTGATCGATCTACATTTGCCACAATCAACCTTCGGAAGCGCATAGGGACATTATATAATGTGATATGGGCTATACAAGAACAGAATATTATTATTGTCATAGTTAAGCTATAAAAAATATCCAAAACCATTTTCACATCATCTAAACACCATCAATAATTGCAAGTGAACATTCTTTGAATCAGCTTATACCTAAATTTTAGACAATATTCTTGTGAAACATTAGGTTCAAGAGAACAAGAGTACAGCTGAAACTCATGCTCCTTCTCATCCGGAACTTTATCTACAAAAGGCAAGTTCAAAGATTCACCCACCTTATAGAAATACTCTAGCTTGGGGGGTGCAAAGCGGTACCCCTCATGAACCCCCTGGTTGCGCTTCAGAAAGGAGCCGGTAGCTACACGCCTTGTGACCCACTCAATAGGAATCATATCACATCGACGGCCGATGAATGCCGTCTCGGTATCTTGCCTAACAAAGTGGGTCTTGATGCCTGCAGGAATAAAGGTTTGTTAAAGTTTAAAAGCTATGAAGATCAAAGCAGAAAAAGGATCAACATTTAAAATGAAAATTGACTACAGTTTCTCAATGATTTCAATATTGGGGCTTTAACCAGCCAAGTAATGGCTAATAAACAAAACAAATCAAATCTATAGCACAAATAAATGCTACATTATCTCTGCAACAATAGTAATCTTGATTTACGTTGTGCACAATACTCTTTAGGACCTTTATAATACCTTCTTTCGAGTTTTAGCGTCGATATCTGTCTTGTTACTATACTATCATATTTTGATGTAGGTATCATTGAAAAGCCTGATTATTCCCCTTTACAATGATGCTCCACCTTTAATGATTACCGTATGTAATCATGGAATGTGCATTATACCTGAACATGGAAAAAAAGTCAAAAGTGAAAAGTTGCAAAATGCAAACTGTAAACTGTACTTACCAATCAAGTTGAGAAATTCAAATACTTTTGAAGCTGTGGCATTGGAGATTGCAGCCTTTCCTGCCAGCTCGTTGACACGCTGGGCATTGTTGGCAGAAATTCTGTCCTTGGATTGAAGAAGAACTTCAAAGTTTGGCAGCTCGAAGATGATCTTGGTCTTGCCTTCATTCAACTGTTTTCCTTGAGTGGCTATTTGTTGGAATACAAGAAAAAACAAATTGTATTGAAAATTGAAATAGCATAGTCAAGCACTTCCTTTAAGTTAAGAAAGATGTCATCAGTGATGCAGGCAGCCTACTATGGCCAATCATAGAGAGACACATAAGCCAAAACAAATCATCACCTGGCACAATAGGGCTTACATGGCAATGGGCTTTGTCATTTTGACAGGATAGTTAGGACTGCTAAGTAAGCAAACGTAACTAAATACCGATTGGTTAAGGCCTGAAGATTTCAAATATCTGTTTGCTGGACTTCATTGCATGTGATAGGCTGACCACATACAATACTGTGTGAGTCAAAAAAAGTTTACACCTAGAAAATTGCTAATTATTTTAAAAAGCATCTATGGACAGTAAATTATCATACATCTAATGAAAGAGCGTTCTATCCCAAATCATTTAGTATCATAAATGAGTGGTATGTGTTCACGCTTGAATGAACAGGTCATCTATTAATTGTAATTGTAATTAAGTTATGGGACACACTGTATAGGTTATTTCATTCATATTTTTCTTACAGATTTGACGCATAACATGGGCATAACAACCTAAATACAATAACATTCAGATAGAGAAACAGAGAAATATTCACAAATATCTTTCAAACGTACATAAACAAGTCTGAAATATTCTCAACATGTGAAACTGCAATTCATATTATATCGTAATATTTAAGTGTTATGATCAATTCAGAAAATCATGATCATACATGTATGTAATGAGATGTCTTTCCATTTGTGTCAGGGAGTGATAAGAAAATTTGGCCATCAGTGCTCCAGTATGATAGTATCACAGAACTTTCTCTTGATTTTGCATTGCCTGATTTGGTGGGCTTGTGTAAAGTCTTCTCAGTTGTATACTATATTTCTTCCCTTGCTTTGCAGGCACGAAAATATTTCAGAAGGTGAAGGCATAGGAATTCAATTAGTTGACAATTTCATGGTTAAAAATAAAAGATTAACAAGTTAAAAGTATGCCAAGCTCAAACCACTATGCACCATGCAGCCCTAGCAATGACTTACATGCAGCAGAAATGTTAATACTAGCATTAACTGTTGGCTACAATTGATTGAATTCAACAGTTACAAGGATGATTTTTGTGGCCAGGTTATTTCTAATATAAATCATGGTTTTCTGGGGGAATATATGATCTAAATAAGACTTATATCAAACAACATGAATCACCTAATGAAATCATTCATAATTTGCCCATGCCTGACAGAAAGCAGAGATATTTTTGCATTCAAAGACCCCGTTCTCATTCACTTCGTTGGAGCGGTCTAACTAAGACCCGTTCCTCAGGAGCGGTTCTTAGGTGAGTGAGAACGGTCAAAGTGGTCCAGGAAGTGGACTTCTGGACCGCTCCAGAAGACCACCTCCGGAGGTGGTCTTGAGGAACGGGTCTTATTAAGAGCGGTTTGGATCGCTCTAACGTGCAATGTGAACGGAAGCGTACTTTGAGCGGAAGTGAGTTAGTGACGTTCCGTGCGAAACATATAGTACGGTACATACGGTTTGTATTCCGCGCGCGAAAAAATGGACCTGCTGAACTGAGCTGCCATAGCGACAAGACCACTTTGACTCGTGGAGCGGTTTGAGCCATAAAAAACTGCTCGGAGTGTGAACGCTCGCAAACCGTTCCTCTGGAGCGGTCTAACTAAGACCACTTTCAAAGTGAGTGAGAACGGGGTCAAATATAGCCAAAAATAAGGAAGCAGAAACATGATAAATATTACCTCTTGTATACAGGTATACAAGAGAGTAAATAATATTGTACTATAGATCCTTCTTTGAAATCACATCTCTGGCCTATCCCATTTCAGACTAACCAAGTATAATAGGCAAATTATGAGAAAATTTCAATGTTTTACATTTTTTTAAAGAAAAAAATTAAGACACAATTATTCATGAATTAACTATAGTAAACTGAGTAAAGTTAAACTGGCCTTCATATGGCACAAACAAAGGGGTAAAAGGGAATTTTGTTCTAAATCAAAGACAGGTACATGTACATCATATTAGCCTTTACTAGTGTTCTTGATAAACATGATTTTGCCATAAAATAGGTTACCTTTTCACACATGTTATTTTTCTATAATCTACAAGAGAGGGTCTTGCAAGGGAGGAAACAAGATAGTAACATTTCAAAGCCCCACTGCACTACTTATAAGTTATAGCTGCTTGCGCCCTCTACAGTGCGTCCCAGAAAAACGAAACCGAGACTTATCGATGTTTTATCATAACTTAATCACATTTATAATTAATAAATGACACATATTTGGAAAGCTTAGATCCTCCTCTTTCATTTGATGCAACTCATTATGATGCATATTTCACGCATGAGTGATTAAAATCAATTTGAAGAGTGACAGGCGGTATCTAAATTTCAAAGAGAAAATCACATTTCTAGAAAGTGAGGTTTCTGCCCTTTCATATGACACCTCAATCAGGAAAAATGAGCAAGGAATGACAAAGTTCTGTTTGTTTAAAGTAGCCCTTACATTTTCATAATTTTAGCAAACAAATTTGTTTTCACCGGCTGCCTGCTGTAGCAAAAAGCAGAATTGACAAAAGACGTAACTCCGTTTCTTTTACAATCAGCCATGCATGAAGTCTTTCGTCTACGGCTAATTGTCAACGAAACAGAGTTAAGTCTTTAGTTAATTTCGTTTGTTGATACGGCAGGCAGCCAGTGAAAACGAATTTGTTTAATAAAATTATGGAAATGCAAGCACTACTTTAAACAAACAGAACTTTGTTATTCCTAGCTCATTTTTCCTGACTGAGGTGTCATATGAAAAGGCAGAAACTCAACTTTCTAGAAATGTGATTTTCTCTTTGAAATTCAGATATCGTCCGCCAAATGACTTTTTGTTTTCCTCTTTTCAAATTGATTTTAATCACTCATGCGTGAAATATGCATTATATGAGTTGCACCAAATGAAAGAGGAGGATTTAAGCTTTACAAATATGTGTCATTTATCAATTATAATTGTGATTAAGTTATGATAAAACATTGATAATTCTTGGTTTTGTTTTTTCTGGGACGCACTGTATATAGCAAACAAAATTAATCCAAGTCCTATCCGCACCTCCATTAAAACCCAGAAGAGTATTTTGGAGGACCAACCAACCAAGTAACAATGTCTAATCGGTGACCATTGGTCCCCCATGATCCTCTATTTCTTATGTTAATTGAGAGCTGATTTGATGAGATAACCCCCTGTCAGTGGCCATGCAGGGAGGTCTAATCCTTCCTGGCCAGTGGGGCTTTAAGAGTGCTCCTGGAAGTGATTTGGTATTGCACATATATTGCACAGCAAGCAAAGTACACAGATGAATTTTTGTTGTTGAAATATAAGCTTACCTTTCATTCTCTTTGATGGCGGTTGTTCTGAAAGAACGCATGCAAAATCAATCAAGCAAAATTAAATTATATGCAATGGAACAGAATTCCTAATTATAATGATTTCAGGCCAACAAGGCAACATGAATATCTAGTTAACAAACAAGTACGACAATACTCTGTTAGATAACCCTGTAAGTTGGGGCTTTGATCGGATCGGAAGATTGGAGCGACACCCTCGCACCTGTGATCGGTAGCAATTTTGTTTTCTTTTTCTTTTAATGCCGAAAATTTTCAAGTCTTGGGCTATCTAATGCTTTAAAAAATGCATAGCTGGGATTATTTTGTCATTTGGAGTTGGTGTAGACCATGTTTGTTGATATTTAGTGCCTTTGCATGACTTTGAAATTCAGAGAAGAGGCAAAACATGCGGGCCACCATCTTGGATTATAATGCATGCCTACATTATAATCTTTGCAGAAGTCGACCACCTGTTACAATATGTAATACAATAGCAACATACAAGTTGATATGTCAGACATGCTGTAGCATGTATGTTACATGCCACTTTCTCAAGTTAGCTCATTGATGACTGATGACAGATGATGTCACAAGGGAAATCAGATCTGGAGGATTTAGGGGTAGAGCTTAGCCTAGCAAGATTGAAAAACAAATATTTCAAAAAATATTCAAAACTCTATGAAACAAATTCAGTAGTTTACATATCAAAATATGTATGAGATTATGCAGGACTGTCGGAATACACTTGTACTATTTATTTGTAGGTGTATTTCAATGTCATGGGCCCTTTAAGTCTTTGTTTTTAGGAAAAACACTCCGAAAAAGATAAGAAAATTGACACGAAACAGGTAACAAACATATCAACTTTTAAATCATGACCTTTATTTGGACATTTGATATTTACTTCATTTTGGGTATGTGTTAGTTGGGTATCTCCACGCCGGAGTTACGGGTAAAATTTTAGGCGCTAGTGTACTTTGTATCCATTTTTTTTAGCAGTTTCATATCCATTCTTAGCAAAGGAATTTTAGCCCAATTTTTTACTAATTTTAATCATAATCATATATCACATTTTCCACCTGAATTAGGATCACATCCGACATCGGGAAGCCTCCGTTTAGGGCTTCGATGTCAACGTCGTCGCTCAGTACCGTCTCTACGCTATAGCTCTGCACCTCAAACTGAAGCTATAAAGTATCAGTTCAAAATTAAGCAAACTGCTCGTATGGTTTATGGTATTACGCGCATGCACGATACCATAAACCATACGAGAAGTTTGGATAGACTTTTAAAAAGTTGTAATGTAAGACTTCTGAACTAGCGCCTCATTTTCAACCGCGACAACGATCACTGATTATTGTAGGATCGCATATGCTTCCATAGACCGAATTTTTCTGTCTCTTTCGTTCGTTAGCCTCTGATTCGGGTAAGGTCGGCTCTCTCTTTAGAGACAGAACAGCCCTATACACTGTAGTGGACGCGCGTTTGTGTAAAGAAACGTTACACAAAACTTGGCCAAACTTGATCCCTAATTTTGATATTTTGCCGGACACGAAGCAAATATATCGTTTATCCATGTACAATGAGTTTACGAGCACCCATTGGGTGATCAATCTAGCAAAAAAAATCCCAAGTAACGCCCCCGGGCGCTGATCCAATCAGAAAATTGATGCGTAAATCAGGTTGACCTTAGTTTGACTTGGGCGGCTACTTTGCTCTTCCGTTCGGGCGTCCGATCGACTCCTCGGTTTTCCGAACGATTCCTCGGTTAGGTTTTTCGGGTTTCGGATAATACCGACAAGTTTAATGACCGTGGGAAAGCGAGCCAAGTTATGCGCATTGTGGCATGATTTGAGTTCATGGAAAGTTCAACTGCGCGTGCCTCGCCAGCTCAAGGAATGCAGTCTAGTCATTGGTGTTATAATTAGCATTGGCGAAATGAAAATCATAATCTAATGGAGGAGATTAATTATGTGCAATATTAATTGTCATGATGATTGGCACAGCAGGTTCTTCCATTCATTCATATTTTGATGTTGCATGTACTTTTATCCTTCCTCTCACTCTCTCATCCCTTTTCTCTATCTGAACTTGCTACTTTTCAGATTTTCCTTTTCTTCTTCAGTTCTGGTCTTTCCTCTCTATTTCTATTTCACTCCCACCCCCTGTCTCTCTGTCTGTATCTCTCTCTCTCTCTCTCTCTCTCTCTCTTTGCTCTCTCTGCCTCTTCCTCTTTCTCCCTTCGTCTCTCCTTCATCCCCTCTGTTTCTCTCTCACACTTTCTGTCCCTCCCTCCTCCTCTCCACCTCTTTTCTCTTATGATGATGTTTTACAGTACAACATTCTATAATTATATGTTATTTTTATCATATTTTGTGGGTTGCACAGGAGCAGGGTCCACGTCCCGCAACCTGGGTGTCATGATTTCTTGAAGCCATGATAGCTGATGCTCCTACATGTATGTAAATACATACATGTATTAATACATTTAAATATCAATTTACCAATTAAAATGGAAAACAAGTTCATAAACATTAGACACGATTGTCGTAATGAGCTGTGCTGCTCATAATTAGGAAATGTATTAGTTGTACAAAGCAAAAGAGATGACTCAATGAGTGCGGACAGGCGCGGATCCAGGGCGAACGGACTTTGCCGCCCCCCCCTCCCGCAAAAAGAGAGAGAGAGAGAAAGAAGGGAAAGAGGAGAGAAAGGGAAAGAAAGAAGAGGAAGAAGAAAAGAAAAAGGGGAAAGGAGATCGGGCGGCGAAAGGGCCTTGCCTCCCAGCTGTTACCTCCCCCTCCCCCCCCCCCCATCACAAAATAAGAGAGAAGGAAGGAAAGGGAAAGGAAAAAGAGGAGATAAAGGGAAAGAAAAAAAGAGAAAGAAGATAGTTAAGGTGTAGATTGGGGGGGGGGGGGCACTGTCGCACTGATGGGGGGGGGGGGTTGGGCTTGGGGAAGGGGGTGACAGATGCCCCCAAAATATAATTCAAACGTGGTTTATTTCTAATTCGATACCGGTGATTTACAAATATTACTAAAATGACATGATTTTCCTAGATTTTTTTATGAGTGTTGGGAAATGGCAAATTCCTAAATAAGGAAAAAAGAATAGTGACCTGCCTTTGTCAAAAAATAATGAGGAGTCAAAATGTGCTCATCTGACCGTAATTAAAAGCCTATATTCCCTGAGCTTCTGTGTGCTCCTCCCCTTGACCCCCGCCGGGGCTTCGACCCTAGACCCCACGCCAATTTACGTTACGTTGATCGTTTCTACCCCCCCCCCCCTCAAAAAAAAAAAACAAAACAAAAAACACCAACAACAACATCAACAATAACACGTTTTTGCTCATTTCGCCACTGCTGGGTCACCATTACGTACCAATATTTGGCTTGCATAATTTCAAATCCCCCCCCCTAAGAAATTCTGGATCCGCGCCTGAGTGTGGAGGTATATGTATGTATTGATTGATTGAGTTTTATTCGACAAGCTTCGAACATACAACATTATACAATAATAACAAATCAACAAGTCAGCTTGAACAGGATAACCCACGAGAGCTTATTTCCAGTGGGGTCCCTTACAGACATGTATAAAATTAATAAGTAAAAATAGTCATATTTACAGACAGATAAGAAAAATAAAAGAATTACCTTTTAAAGATAATAATAATAACAACATTAAACTGATGATAGAAATGATAATAAGTACAAGAAGAAAAGGAAGAAGGAGAAGAAGAAAAAGAGGAGGAGGAAGAAGAAGAAAATAATGATGAATTAGTAGAATTTCTATAACGTACGAAAACATAAATATATACAAAATGAAAAAGTATGAACCGGCAGAAGAATACAAATTTCAATCACATGTCATTCACTTCTCCGACTGTCAAGTATTAGGTATTCCTTTAATTTCCTCTTAAAATGAGCATAGTTTTTTTTTTAGCTTTGAAAATTGACATCCAACACAAGGCCCCCCCCCCCCGCTCTCTCTCTTTCTCTCTCCTTCTCTCTTTCTCTCTAATTATTTATCTCAATGTCATACCCCCTTTCCATCACATCTCACTCTGATCTAATATGAAATTGGACTGAACAGGAAAAGAATGACCGCATCAAAGATGTATGCACTTACATAAGTTATACATTTAATGATACCCTCCGACATCTCTGAATAACATATTTGAATACATAGAGTAGAATAGAATAGAAATGGTTCTTATTAGAAAGATCATCGCAGCCAATGGCTGAATTGCGATCCATTTTACAAACATACAATTGCAATTTAAATTGAAATAACACAAAATATGACATAAATCAAAAATCAAACATAGACCCCCGATAGGCATTTAAAAAGTCATTGATCAAATTCAATTTTTTGTTAAATAAAAGACAGAGAAAGAGAGAGGTGTAGAGGAGGGAGAGTTGGAGTGATGATAAAGAGAGAGAAAGAGAGGAAGAGAGGAAGAGAGAAAAAGAGAGAGAAAGAGAAGGGGGGACGAAAGAGTGAGACGGAAAGAGAGAGAGATATATATATACATTATGAATATAATAAGCGATGACTGAAAGCATAACATTGATAATAATATGATACTACACATACAAAAAAGAAATATTAAAAAAATAATTACCAAAAAAAAAAGCTGCCCCCAACCCCACTAATTTTTTTTTACCCCCCCCCCCCCAAAAAAAATGCAACATTGTTACTGAAAATAATTTGGGAAACTCAATTATATAATACTGTCAAACGATCAAAATCCTCTCAAGATTTAACCATTTTTATCAAATTTGTCAGTTTTGTTAGCAAGTATACTAACCTGCCTCTCATTTATGAAACTATTACTGATATGTTATTTTATTGTCATATTACAACTTTCCATTTCGGACTTGTATTTGCATTTAATTATTTGACAGAGTGCTTTAATTATTTGACAGAGTGCTTTAATTATTTGACAAAGTGCTTATTATTTGACAAAGAAATTAATGTAGGAATGGAGACCACCAAATCTCGGTTGAGCACCCTTCGGAGCTTAGTTAGTTCCTGGTGTGTTTTTACAAAACGCCGAAATCATATTGCCGTTTCCCCCAGGCCAGGCAATTTCCCCCAGGCCAGGCAGTTTCCCCCAGGCCAGGCCGCGCAAACGCGTAACCATGGAAATACTACGAACGCTGACCACAACCAGTTCAAAGTACAACATATACGCAGTCACAATCAGACGTAAACACGGCGAACGATTTCATACGACACTCAGCTGTATGGTTCGGAATTATTACCGAACAAAGGAAGCAAACTTCGGCTCTGACGCCCTAGCTGTCAATCATACAAAAATGGATACCAAAAACACTGAAATTTCAGGCTTTAAACAGGTGACGCACTTTACACATAGGTGACGCACACATGGCGTTCCATACACATGCAAACGAAACGTGAACGGACATTTCAGGAAAAGAATCAAGTTTGTACCTTAAATATGACTTTTTTGATAATTTTTCTTAGTTAAGTAAGACTTATACTTAAGTGAAATACTTAAGTGAAATACTTAAGTGAAAAAATCATTAAAAATAGAGGGTTTGACTGAAATATCACAATTTTGGTATTGAAAAAAACGGAAAATAGTATGCTCTCTCGTCGCACTCAAATTTGTAACGTTAAGCGAATGGCGGGTCTTTTACATCCAATCAGAAGGAACAAGAACGTTGATTCGTGGGCGGGGCGCGGGCGGGTAATTCAAATGAGGCGGAGACCGATTAAACGTAACTGCGCAAGTGCTAAATGTAAGGAATATTGCTTCGTGCCGGATGCGTATCCGATGCATTTAAAGTCCTAAATTAGCTAAATGCTTAACTACTTCGGTTCCACTTACCAACTTGACTACTTAAATCCGTTTAATGGTCCCTTTTCAAGAAATTATGGGTCAAGATCGACATCCATGAAGAAAATCTTGCAGCCGCGTCTCATTCCTTCTAGTCTACGCCGAAGGCAAAATGGTTATAACGGAAATAGCCGACTGTGCATGTCATTACGAACTCGTAGCTCGTGCACAGTATTTCCGTTATAACCAAAATCCAAATCAGAGGCTAACGAACAAAAGAGACAGAAAAATTCGGTCTAATGCTTCCAATATGTTCATTTGCACAAAATTCATGACCTCATACCAAAAATTTTGTAGGTTGCCTTTAGATCTAACTAAAGTATAAACTGGTGTTGTCATTGGCATCAGCCATCACAATAATCCATTGTTAGATCTACAAGATTTATTGATAAAAATACTGTTGATGAATGTGTTTAAGACCCTACCTGCCATTTTAAAGGTGTTTTTCCGACCTAAATACTTGAACTTTGAAGTGTCCCAAATTGGCCAACCGATGCACCCTTGAAGTTGTGCTGCGCCGATTGAGTGAAATCCGAGATAAAGTGCTCCTTGCTGGCCCTGGCCCTAGGAAGGTTTGGTTGTTTGGATGCACTGTACCCTAGTCTTGCCTGTTCTATACTGCACGTGTGTCTGTGCATGCGCTGTGCAACACGTGTGTAACGCACACTACGCGCCATAGTAGTGTCAGGTGATCAAGAATACAGTAGTCTTTAACCACAGACTAGCAATGGTAGTTTAGGCATCAAGATTCAAGATTTATTTCTTTCTTTCCATGCACTGACATGAAAACAATACTCTCATGAACAGTAACAACAAATTCATCGTCAATAAGAATAAAGCCATGAACAATAACAAGAAAGTTACAAAGACATTAAACATGTGGAAAAGAGGAGGTCTGTAATTTTTTTTTTTAAAGTGACTGAGGTCCCCTTTACAAGAACAAGAACAAGACAGATTTAAAAAAGAAGTATAGATTAATAATAAATTAGAATAGAATTGCAATAGAAATGGAAATGGAAATAAAAATAAAAATTGAAATGGTGAAGGTGAAGAAATGTACAATACGTACGGGTGGGGCGGGGGTGGGTGGAACTAACAGTAGGCCTACTAATCTGAGTTACCTATGCTGAATATAAATCAATATCAGATCTATCACCAATTTATAGAATAATGACAATAGAACTATACAGAATCGAGGAAGGTGGATAAATGTACAATACAGGGGGACAAACAATGCTAAATACCGATAGTGATACAGATTGATTGATTGATTGATTTGTATTCGCCACTGCAGGCAAGCTTCCAATATATACAATAATAACAGATCAAAATTAAGTCAGTTTGAACAGGATAACACACGAAAGCTCGAGAGTTTGTTTCCAGTAGCAGTAGGGTCCCCGGCATAAATGTACAAAATTAATAAATTAAATAGTAATACTTACAGACAGATAGAAGAAGAAAAAAACTTATTAAAGATAAATAATGATGACTAATAATATTAATAACAACACGAAACTGATGATAGAAAAATAAGTACAAGAAGAAAAAGAAGAAGCAGAAGAAGAAAAAGAGGAGGAGGAGGAAGAAGAGGAAAATAATGATTAATATGTTGAATTTCTATAACGTACACAAACACAAGTATATACAAATCTAATATTTTACTCCTATTGCTGTTACCGTACGTCGATCAGACACGTGCAAAATTTTCTTTCTCCTTTTCGATTGTACGATTTAGAGACACTATTTTCGGTGGCTAGCCTCCTCCTTATTGGTCGCCAGTTTCAACGAGCGACTTACTTATATTATATTGGTTGCTAGTTTCACTTTCTAGGAGACAGACGGAATCAATCTTAAGCTGTGTCCGGCTGATTGCGGCAGTTATTCCTGGCAAAATCATGGCTTTGTCTTCATCATCAGTAAGTGCAGATGATAAATTTCAGTTGGCTTAATTAATTTTATGATTGATGGATGACATTTTGTCCTAAAAATTTAATTCTTAATTTGTAAGTAAAAAGCGCTGTCCCACATGTTGAATTTTAAGTTGTTTACTTAGACCTAACTGTTACTAGATCTAGAGTAAAGGAGGGAGTAGACTAGATCTAATCGACCATCTTCAGTTTTCGGCCTATCCGTTGGATGCATGGTAAAATCCCTTTAAATAATAGCATTTCACATATCCCACACCAAATTTGTCTGTCTCTTTCGTTCGTTAGCCTCTGGCGCTAGTGTAGAGTATGTAAAAAGGAGCCGGTAATCGGCCAGCTCCAGTTTTCGGCCGATCGGTTGGATGCAAGGTAAATTCACTCTAAAATACATCGCATAATAGCATAACACATATCCCACACATACCATACCATGCCAGTGTCACTGAAGAACCACATTTGCAATGGAAAATATATCCTAAAATATCACATTTTAGCGATGTAATCGCCGGTCCCGCTACCCAAATCTGAAAAATCGAGTATCTTACGCGTGTCTGTAAGAAATATGGGTACCATAAAATGAGCTTTATTTCAAGTATTTTTCAGATTTAGAGCCCGATTTTGTGCTAGTCGCAAGCTCAAAAGTATCTCATCGCATGTATTAAATCAATGCAGCCGCACACCGCGACGCACACACGATATCTCTGTCTAATTCAGATTCAAACTTCCGATCACCGCTGTGCCTGTCTTCGCCGGAGCACAAGGGAGCTCCGGCGTGGGATACCTGCTCCGCCCGCTTGTGCTGTACATCAGCGCGGAAACGCACGGCGCCGCGAGCGCTTCCTATTGACTTTGTACATGCGGCCGTAAACTGAAACGCTCGGCCGATAACTGGCTCCAAAACAGTGAAAATTGAAATGAATATTGTCATGGCAATTCGTGATTTTTTTCTGGGATTCTTTTTTTGTTTAAATAATAATAATATTTGCTTCATGATTTGAACAAGAAATGATTATGAATAGGAAGTAAAGAGTCCTAAAAATAGGATTTTGTCTTAAGTGGCCGAAAACGGGCTCCTTTACTCTAGTTCCGTATTCGTTTTTTTAGCAGTCTCATATCCATTCTTAGCAAAGGAATTTTAGCCCAATTTTTACTAATTTTAATCATAATCATATATTGCATTTTGCCCTTGAATTTGGATCACATCCGACATCGGGAAGCCTCCGTTTGGGGCTTCGATGTCGACATCGTCGCTCAGTACCGACTCCGCGCTATAGCTTTGCAACTCAAACTGAAGCTATCAGTCTAAAATTATGCAAGCTTCTCGTATAGTTTATGGTATCGTGCATGTGCGTAATACCATAAAGCATACGCGAAGTTTGCTTAATTTTAGACTGATAGCTTTAGTTTGAGTTGCAGAGCTATGCGGAGACGGTACTGAGCGACGACGTCGACATCGAAGTAAGAGAGAGCCGACCTTACCCAAATCAGTGGCTAACGAAGGAAAGAGACAGAAAAATTCGGTCTAATACCATTCTATGCAAGAGACACTGAAGAACCACAGTTGCAATGGTAAATATATCCTAAAATATCACATTTTAGCAATGTAATCGGTGGTCCCGCTACCAGAATCTGAAAAATCAAGTATCTTACGCATGTCTGTAAGAAATATGGGTAGACCTCGACCATAAAATGAGCTTTATTTTCAAGTATTTTTCAGATTTAGAGCCCAATTTTGTGCTAGTTGCAAGCTCAAAAGTATCTCATCGCATGTATTAAATCAATGCAGCCGGACACCGCAACGCATACACGATATCTCTGTCTAATTCAGTTTCCAATTTCGATCAACGCAGAGCTAGTTTTCGGCCTCGCGAGCACCCGGGAGCTCCGGCGTGGGATACCTGCTCCACCCGCTTGTGCTATAGATCAGCGCGGAAACGGGCAGCACGCGCGCACGCTTCCTATTAGCTTTGTACATGCGGTCGAAAACTGGCTCGCTATGCCGATAACTGCCTCCGAAACAGTGAAAATTGAAATGAATATTGTCATGGCAATTTGTGATTTTTTCCTGGGATTCTTTTTTTGTTTAAATAAAAATAATATTTGCTTCATGATTTAAACTAAAAATGATAATAAATAGGAAGTAAAGATTCCCAAAAATAGGATTTTGTCTTAAGTTGTCGAAAACCCCCTCGTTTACTCTAGACGGCGCTTATTCAGAAACTTATCCAAAATTTGACCTGTAACTCCGGCGTGGAGATACCCTACTAAAACATACCAAAAATCAAGTAAATATTCATTATTATTCATATTTTTAGGCCTGATAATGGGCCACCCTGCATAGTAATAATGTTCAAACCTCAATTTTTTATCATATCAAATTGCGTAATGCAGGCAAGATCGCCAAGCGCGTTTCCTTCGTTAAAACTTTAATACCGGTAAAATACTCTTCTATTACAACATAATGCGCTTCTTCAGAATCAAATTATTTGGAGTATTTTTCCTAAAAACAAAGACTTATGATTTCTCACAGGATACATGGCAAACTCCTGCACAATACAATTGCATACCGTCTCGACGGTGGGGTGCGGGCACAGGCGCGTGCGTGAAGTTAGCGACTGTAATGATGAATTACTCACGTGAATTTAATGAGGATCTGAGATTTCAGTCGCGCCTGCACCCCACCGTCGGTACACTATACGCCAGGGGCGTAAATCCCGGGGGGGATGGGGGGGCTGCATCCCCCCCCCTGGCTTGAAGTACAATCATCCCCCCCTGATATTACAAAACAAAGAGAGAAAAAAGGAAGAAGGAGAAAAAAAAATGTGATTGTTTCAATTTCAGCATAATGCATGAGAAATTAGTTTTTGTTTGTTTTAATGTATGCTGTATAGCCTACACGTATACAGTATGTCACGATCACTAAGAGTAGTTTCGTGACGTGCGCGAACAAGCACTTCATAAACTTCAGAATGATTTTTCGTTATTTTGCAAGGTATTATTATAGCCCAGACGTAAAGTGCGCCAGCGCTTAAAAAGTGCAATCATGTACAGTAGATGCCCGGCTCCCCCACTTAGTGTTATTTAGGGTACACGTATGCTCGTTCCTTCCATTTGAAAGCACCCCCCACCCTATCTCAGGACTGCCAACATTTCTGAATCTCCCTTTCGCCGGCTTTTTGCTGGCTTTTCCTGCCTTGGAGAGCCCCCCCCCCCCCCCCCAAAAAAAAAAAAAAAAAAAAATCCGGAACACTGCTAAATGTACCACACCCCCCCTCAATTTTAGGTGAGCTCTAGTCGATCGAGGGGGACTGGGGGCCAATGCTTTTACTTTTCAAAATGAAATAATCCTGAATGAGTTTTCAAAGCTAGCAGGAATTTCAGTAATTTGATCCCGGGATTTGATCAATTTTTCTATGATATTCAAGATATTTTATAACCTCCTTTTTCGTTTCTCAGGAGTCCAAAGAGAGAGAGACAAAAAACCCACCCCCTTTTAAAAGAAATTAAGAGTCGAGAATGGTACAACGAAACGTCTTCTTTCTCTAATGATTTAATGAAACGTAAAAGCTTCCGCGCTTCGCGCCGGTGGGGGAAGGGAAAAACCGAATTCAGATGAGGATTAAAAGTCGAGAACGTTACAACGAATCGTCTTCTTTCTCTAATGATTTAATGAAACGTAAAAGCTTCCGCGCTTCGCGCGGGAGGAGGGGGGAAACTGAATTCAGATGAGGATTAGGAGTCGAGAACGGTACCACGAATCGTCTTCTTTCTCTAATGATTTAATGAAACGTAAAAGCTTCCGCGCTTCGCGCGGGAGGGGGGGGGGGGAACTAAATTCAGATGAGGATTAGGAGTCGAGAACGGTACCACGAATCGTCTTCTTTCTCTAATGATTTAATGAAACGTAAAAGCTTCCGCGCTTCGTGCGGGAGGGGGGAAGGGAAAACTGAATTCAGATGAGGATTAAAAGTCGAGAACGGTACAACGAATCGTCTTCTTTCTCTAATGATTTAATTAAACGTAATAGCTTCCGCGCTTCGCAGGGGAGGGAGGGGGGGGGGGAGAAAAACTAAATTCAGATGAGGATTAAAAGTCGAGAACGTTACAACGAATCGTCTTCTTTCTCTAATGATTTAATGAAACGTAAAAGCTTCCGCGCTTTGCGCGGGAGGGGGGGGGGAAACTGAATTCAGATGAGGATTAGGAGTCGAGAACGGTACCACGAATCGTCTTCTTTCTCTAATGATTTAATGAAACGTAAAAGCTTCCGCGCTTCGCGCGGGAGGGGGGTGGGGGGACTGAATTCAGATGAAGATTAAGAGTCGAGAACGGTACAACGAATCGTCTTCTTTCTCTAATGATTTTATGAAACGTAAAAGCTTCCGCGCTTTGCGCGGGAGGGGTGGGGGGTCTGAATTCAGACGAGGATTAAGAGTCGAGAACGGTACAACGAATCGTCTTCTTTCTCTAATAGTGTTTGTTGTTTGTTCGTTTGTGTGTGTGCGTGCGTGCGCGATCGCGCGCGCTTGCGTAAATTAGTGTGGGCGTGTGCTCGTGCTAGTATGTGATGGCTATCGCCGATCATCCCCCCCACTCCTCGGTACGGGTTTACGCCCCTGCTATACGCTGCCCCTGCATGTGTGTACTTGTATAGCATTTTGAAAACTTTAAGTTGGTAAACCTGTAGGTCCAGAGACTGAAACAGATGAGCTTTTCAGATCCTGACTTGGATTTCATATACTAGATAGCATGGAAATTACTTTCAAATCAGTGAAACGGAATGTAATTTCAAAGGTTTTGCTCCGTGTTCTTTTTCTTTGTTGTTACAGCAATTTTCAGCCATTGATCAAGCATGTGAAGCAGGAGAACAATTCTACAAGGTTTTCTATGAAAACTTTGACAAGAAGAGAACAGTAAGTTTCCTATGTATTCTACTTGTAACTGGTCTTTTTATGCCTCCGCCACGGAAGGTGGTGCCGGAGGCATCATGTTTTCGGGTTGTCCGTCCTTACGTCCGTACGTCCGTACGTCCGTCCGTACGTCCGTACGTCTGTACGTCCGTACGTCCGTCCGTACGTCCGTCCGTCCGTCCCGTTTGACCGTTATCACAATATCTCAAGAACCATTTAAGATTTAAACTTAAGACTCGGGAATAGTATTTATCACCATAGGAAGACGATCTGATTAGATTTTGGAGTACGTAGGTCAAAGGTCACAGGTCACAGAGGTCAACTTATGAAATTCCTTGTATTGAGTTTGTTAGCGCGATATCTCAAGAACCATTTAAGATTTAAGCTTCAAACTTAATGTATCACCATAGGAAGACGATCTGATTAGATTTTGGAGCACGTATGTCAAAGGTCAAGGGTCACAGAGGTCAACTTATGAAATTCCATACATTGAGATTGTTATCATGATATCTCAAGAACCACTGGAGATTTAAACTTCAAACTTAATGATAGTGTGTATCACCATAGGAAGACAATCTGATTAGATTTTGGAGCACGTATGTCAAAGGTCAAGGGTCACAGAGGTCAACTTATGAAATTCCATACATTGAGATTGTTATCATGATATCTCAAGAACCACTGGAGATGTAAAAACTTCAAACTTAAGGATAGTATGTATCACCATAGGAAGACGATCTGATTAGATTTTGGAGCACGTAGGTCAAAGGTCAAGGGTCATAGAGGTCAACTTATGAAATTCCATACATTGAGATTTTTATCATGATATCTCAAGAACCACTGGAGATGTAAAAACTTCAAACTTAAGGATAGTATGTATCACCATAGGAAGACGATCTGATTAGATTTTGGAGCAGGTAGGTCAAAGGTCAAGGGTCACAGAGGTCAACTTATGAAATTCCATACATTGAGATTGTTATCATAATATCTCAAGAACCACTGGAGATTTAAACTTCAAACTTAATGATAGTGTGTATCACCATAGGAAGACAATCTGATTAGATTTTGGAGCACGTAGGTCAAAGTTCAAGGGTCACAGAGGTCAACTTATGAAATTCCATACATTGAGATCGTTATCGCAATATCTCAAGAACCACTGGAGAATTTTCACTTCAACTTAATGATAGTATGTATCACCTTATCATAATATCTCAAGAACCACTGGAGATTTAAACTTCAAACTTAATGATAGTGTGTATCACCATAGGAAGACAATCTGATTAGATTTTGGAGCATGTAGGTCAAAGGTCAAGGGTCACAGAGGTCAACTTATGAAATTCCATACATTGAGATTGTTATCATGATATCTCAAGAACCACTGGAGATTTAAACTCCAAACTTGTTTAAATTGCTCTATGGCGGAGGCATCATTTTCGACTGCACGCAGTCAAAATTCCATCTAGTTTTATTATGCCTCCGTCACGAAGTAGCCGGAGGCATTATGTTTTTGGGTTGTCCGTCTGTCCATCTGTCCGTACATACAATACGTACAGACTTCCGTTCTCGTGATCGCATTATCTCAAGAACCGATTGATGGATACCTGCCAAACTTAGGTCATGTATGTATCTTGCAGAGCTAATGAATTAATTAGATTTTGGGGTCACAAGGTCAAAGGTCACTGCTCATTATGTATGCAAAAATAGCTTGTGATCGTGTTATCTCAAGAACCGATTGATGGATTTCTGCCAAACTTTGGTCATGTATGTATCTTGCAGAGCTAATGAATTGAACAGATTTTGGGTTCACAAGGTCAAAGGTCAAAGGTCATAGTGCTCATTATGTATGCACAAATAGCTTGTGATCGTGTTTTCTCAAGAACTGATCAATGGATTCCTGTGAAACTTAGGTCATGTATGTATCTTACATAGCCAATGAATTGATTAGATTTTGGGGTCATTAGGTCAAAGGTCTCAGGGCTCATTATATATGCATAAATAGCTCGTGATCACATCAGTAGAACCGATGGACAGATTATCATCAAACGCAGGACATGTATGTATCTTGCTGAGCCAATTAACTGATTAGATTTTTGGGTCATGTGGTCAAAGGTCATGGGTCTCATTTTATATATATATGCAAAAATAGCTTGTGATCGCATTATTATCAGAATCAATTAAACTTGAATTTGAAAAATTGCTTCTGTTTTGGTTTGTGAAATCGCTCAATGGCGGAGGCATCATTTTCGACTGCCTGCAGTCGAAGTTCCATCTAGTTGATAGTGGCATCTGCTATGTGGGGGGGGGGGTGATCAATTTGGTCTGAAGTTCAGTTAAGCATACTCATTTCAATACGCACTGATTGATTTTTTACAAAATGTTTAATCATATTAATAATACAATCTTAAATGTCTGTAGTGGATGTCCAGTTAAGATTTTTATGCCTCCGCCACCGAAGGTGGTGCCGGAGGCATCATGTTTTCGGGTTGTCCGTCCGTACATCCGTCCGTACGTCCGTCCCGTTTGCAATATCTCAAGAACCATTTAAGATTTAAACTTAAGACTCGGGAATAGTATTTATCACCATAGGAAGACGATCTGATTAGATTTTGGAGCACGTATGTCAAAGGTCAAGGGTCACAGAGGTCAACTTATGAAATTCCATACATTGAGATTGTTATCATGATATCTCAAGAACCACTGGAGATTTAAACTTCAAACTTAGTGATAGTGTGTATCACTATAGGAAAACGATCTGATTACATTTTGGAGCACGTAGGTCAAAGGTCAAGGGTCATAGAGGTCAACTTATGAAATTCCATACATTGAGATTGTTATCATATCTCAAGAACCACTGGAGATGTAAAAACTTCAAACTTAAGGATAGTATGTATCACCATAGGAAGACGATCTGATTAGATTTTGGAGCACGTAGGTCAAAGGTCAAGGGTCACAGAGGTCAACTTATGAAATTCCATACATTGAGATTGTTATCATAATATCTCAAGAACCACTGGAGATTTAAACTTCAAACTTAATGATAGTGTGTATCACCATAGGAAGACAATCTGATAAGATTTTGGAGCACGTAGGTCAAAGGTCAAGGGTCACAGAGGTCAACTTATGAAATTCCATACATTGAGATCGTTATCGCGATATCTCAAGAACCACTGGAGAATTTTCACTTCAAACTTAATGATAGTATGTATCACCATATCATAATATCTCAAGAACCACTGGAGATTTAAACTTCAAACTTAATGATAGTGTGTATCACCATAGGAAGACAATCTGATTAGATTTTGGAGCACGTAGGTCAAAGGTCAAGGGTCACAGAGGTCAACTTATGAAATTCCATACATTGAGATTGTTATCATGATATCTCAAGAACCACTGGAGATTTAAACTCCAAACTTGTTTAAATTGCTCTATGGCGGAGGCATCATTTTCGACTGCACGCAGTCAAAATTCCATCTAGTTTTTTTAAGTGTTGATTCTTAATCCTAAAATATCCCCCGCCTATTTTACAAAGATATACATTGTAATAACACTACCAGAATATTGAGAGTGTAATAGGAATGAGATATTATGCAGTAAACAATGGCAATTTGCTGTCTCACTTTATTTCTACAACAGTACCCAGTGCTCAGGATCTATAAATGAAGATGTAGTGATAAGGAATTGAATTTGGGTTTTCTAGGTCATTATTTTAATCATTCACAGGGCAGATTCTTAATCCACAGCACCATCAAGGAACACCAGTGTGAAGCCTATTTCACATGATGCATTGTGGGGAAAAGTCGACAAAACTATCCGCTGTGACATTGTTATATACCCTATAAGATAAGGGGATTCAATCAGAATTGTTTGTGGGGAAGGTTCGAATAGCTTTTCTGGGGTAGAATTTTGCACTGATTCCAATTGTTGATCCAATTATTGAGCCTTCTCACAACATTTTGGTTATATCGCCTCAGAGCCAAAACTGATGATTATGGTCACTTTTGCTCAGGGGTAATTTTTCAAATCATTATTATCGGCAAAGGAGTTACGATGGGCTTATTTTATGTAAAAACGTGTCTTGATGCTGGAAAAAGTTGTACAATAGAGTACCGAAGCTGTGAAATCATAATCTATTTTTGGAATTTCTCAATTTTTTCTTCATTTTCCGAAAGAGCATCAAAAATCATGTCCAAATGGGAACTCAGTGTTATATTGCTCTGGCTCGTAATGTTATGAACCAGAGCAATATAACACTGAGTTCGATAGGCAACCTTTTTATTCAGATGGTCATATCTCAGCCAATACTCAACCTATTCAAACAGTTTTCGACATTTGGACATTACTTTTGGTGGTCTTTCTGAAAATGAACAAAATATTGAGAAATTCCGAAAATAGATTTTTGTTGACGTCACACTTCACCACTCTATAGAATTTACTCTCATCAGCAACAAGATAGTCATTCTGGTCGCTGTTTGGCACCCAAATGAGAATTTGTATCAATTTTTGTCAAAAATCAGGCCAATTATTCAGAGAGAATCAATTCATGTGCGGGTTTTGACATCCAAATTAAATACAAGAAATTAAGCCCTTTTTCATCTGCTTGGAGCCTTAACACAGAGTAAACTCCCTTCTGGCTCTCTACATACGTTTGATATAATTTCAATGTCTTGATCGTCCTTTATGAAGCTCCTGGGCAAGCTTTACTTGGACAGTGCCACCATGGTATGGAATGGCAATCCTGTATCGGGGTCGGCTGAGATCACCAAGTTCTTTGATAAACTCCCAGTCTCGGAACACAGGGTGGATACACTAGACTGTCAACCAATACCAAGTGAGTAATACTCTGCCTTTTACTGGAAAAAAAATTGTGTCAGGCTCAAGAATAGTCACTTTTAATATATGATATATTATGGTATATTCGCCCAAGGTAGCTCGAGTATCAGTATGAAGATGGTTTACCCTGATTACCCTGCAATCAAATTAGGAACTTTGTGATGTCATTGCGAACTTCTTCTTTTCATTTTTTTAAAATAATCATTCCCATCATAAAATTTAAAGAAAATAAGCCTATGAAGAAGATTGTTTTATTTGTAAGAAGTAAAGAAATGGGATGAATATAAAGTGCAGTGAGTGAAGAGCGATACTGTAGAAGTATTAATCCCTGAAATTGTAATGTGTGACCAAATTTTGTTTTCTCAAGATCACTGAATGTAAAATAAATTTCACCTTCTTAATCTGTGTGGCAATTCCTGCCAAAGGGTTAGAATCTTGTACATGTTTAATGATTTGCTTAAAAAGATTACTTAAAAAAAACAAATTATCATTGAAGCAGAAATAATAGTGCATAGTAAAGTGTAAGCCTAGTGAAGTGTATGAAAATGGAATTGAATTTACACCTTTTTTACAATTATATAACAGTAAGAATTTATAAGTTCACATTTTCTTATTCTATATGAAATTCATTCTGTATGTAACCATTTTGATTACCTATGTATGAAATCCAACCTATGGTTGCAACTGATATGAAATTGTTTGTTAATTTTGTGGCACAGAAGGGGCTAAGTTTTTTGTTTCTCATCCAGTCTTTTCATATTACTCTCTCATCAGCTGAGGTTACGGATAACCAGACGTCTGTTCTCGTCGTAACCAGCGGTAAGGTGAAATTCGACGGAAAAGGGAACTTTCCTTTTGCTCAAAACTTTGTCCTCACGCAAACGCCAAATAGAGTTTGGAAAGTAGCAAGCAGCTCCTTCAGATATGAAGAATGAAGTTTGAAAGACAAAGACTTTGGGCATTAACCTGTAAAGTTACACTTCATCAGACTTGAAAATACTTTAATAACATGGTCACTCATGATAGAGAGATCCCCATCATGACCTAGCTTTCTGTTCATCAGATCAAGGAATGAAGTGGGTAACATCTGACTTTGCCAAGTACCTCTTGAAGAGAAGAATTCATCACTTGACGTCAAAGATACCATTTGGGATGGAATTCATCGCTTTTTGCAGAAAGTTGATGTTTGGTATTGTGCTTTGGGTGTGTGAGATCTGCACAGATTGCTTATAGCACCCATACAGTAGATGAATGTACCTTGAAACCAGTGATGACTGAATTTGCTAATGAAGTATTTATGAATGAAGACATAATCTTCGTCATTTTAACCTCTCTCAAGCTCTAAAGGGCCTATCTCACTGAGCAGCGAATGCTTGCGAACGTTGCGAATTTGGATTCGCCAACTTTTCTGACGAATGTTGGGGAAAATCAGCGACATTAAGTGACGTTTAGCGACAATTAGCAACATTTTAGCGAATGTCTCCGAAAGTGTTTGCGAAAGGCAGTTGGCGACTATTAGCGACTGTAAACAAATGCTAGCGACAACTTTTGCGAAGATTAGCAATTATTTGCCAATCCTTTGCCACTATTTGTGAAAGTTTGAGACCTTTTGCTAACTACTGGTACTCAATGGGTCGATTTTATAAAGGAACCATATGGTAACGTGGTCGCTAGCTTTGGCGAAACACAGAGAACTCACGAAAACAAAGAGCAAAACCGTTTAACAACCGTTTGCAAAGGCTTACGACTGTTTTGCAAACGCTAACGACTGTTTTGCAAACGCCTGCAACTGTTTGCGGAAAAATAAATTCGCAAAGAAATTTTGAACATGTTCAAAATTTCTTTGCGACAAGAAAAACTGTTTGCGATCTTTCTTGCAACCTTTTACAACATTTTACAAACTCTGGCGAAACCCCAAATTCGCTACGTTCGCAAGCATTCGCCGCTCAGTGAGATAGGCCCTTAAGGAAGGAGAGAATGTGATAACAAAGGAGAATAGTATATCTTAAAGGTAGTCTGTCCCTTTTGCAGCCAGAAAATATAAAATTATGTAAATCCTATGGTAAACAAGCGATAATACCAACTGAAAACTCCTCTTAAAAGATTAGAACTGGTAATTGCCTCTGTGTGGAATTACATAAGCCGTAAGGAACTTTCAAAACATGTTGCATAAAATAGGCCTAGAAGGTAGTCTGATTTTCAGAGCCTTGTACCACGTACTCATATGTTTTGTGCTGAGTAAAGACTCAATAAGTTTAATTTTGGTCATAATAAGAAGCGGGTCATTAAGGTGTACAAATGATAATATACTCTTTACAGCTAATTTTATCTAAGTTATTAACAAATTTTAAAAAGTCACTCAACAGTGTCTGACAGTGAAGTCTAGAGAGTAAACGGTTTCCCTTGCATAGTTACGGTAGGTCACTGCTAATGTTTAAATTTCCCAGATAGGACATACGTGACATGCTCATGATTCCTGCAAAGTTCTACAGAATTTGATGTTGGCTTCAAAAGGGATACACTAGCTAGAAAACTATTGATGATCAAGTGTGAATAGTTCCGACTGGTTGGAACAATTTGGGAAATACTTAATTTTAACCCTCCACAAATTCTGAGGAAGGAGAATTAAGCATGGTGCTGGTACAGTGAAAGCTGTCTATAAAGACCACTCACGGGAGAAGAGAACATTGGTCTTAACAGAGAGTGGTCTTTATGCACAACTTCAATTAGTACACATTTTTATGAAAATACTTCTAGTGAAAAATCAAATAAAAATAAGATCTTTGTAGACAGGTTGGCTTTCGAAACAATTCGACAGACAGTACTTGCTTGCTTTCTCAAAAGAATGTTTGAAAGCCAACAGACGTATTCAACTATCAGAAATGGTGTTGATCAGAACTTTAGTTTAATGTTTCTAAAATTTGTGAATAAAATTGTGGACAAGATTAAAATGTCTTTTGTGTTGTGGACTCATTGTAAATTGTAAAACATCTAAAACTGAAATGTGGAGTAGGTATGGCAGCGCACAGGTCAACAGAGGTCAACGCACAGAAGGACAGGTGGTGATGTTTCTTTCCTTATCAGCTCAACTTGGTTGAATGAATTGGAATGTTTGTGAGATAGTAAAGAGGTTCAAGATTTAGTGGATATAAAAGAAGTTTTTAAAGTTGTTTCATCATTGGTTTTGTTTACTTCAAGTGAAGCATATAACTGTTGAGGAGAAGCCATATCCAGGTGCATTTTACAAAAGCAAAATATGTGAGAACAGGAGGGAAATCTGACAAAGGGGTAAAAAAGTTATTTCTTACATGTGTAATTATAACCATGATAAATCACAAACAAATTGAAAACTCATTCTTCTTGCAAGCAGCTCACCATATCTTTTGTACTAAAAATATTAAACATATCCATCTTCATTGCTGTCGATTCATAATGGAGCTATTTTAGCTGGGGAAATGTGAAAATGACTGTCCTGTAATGCTATATTTGGCACAGGTATATCAAAGTATTTACTTTGAAGAGAAAGGGTAGGAAATGTGCATTACACAAAAAGGAGAGCTGCTGTCAAGAAAAACAGTGTTGTCAAAGATACTGCATAAATTATATACAGTGAAACGCGTCTATTAGGACAACCCAAGGGAGAAAAAAAAAGTGGTCTTTGTAGACAGGTGGTCACTAAAACAGGTTTGATTGTATATTGTTGTGCATGTGCCTTAGATGTAATACTGGGCATGTGTTCAACCCCTGTATGTAATGGGTTTATTTCTTCATCAAAAGTCCGCTTGAGCAATACTTTTTATTCTTACAAAAGATATGTCAGGGAAGGCATGGAGTTGCCAACTTGCATTTAATTGATGAGAAATTTTAAAAGTCAATACTTTCATGTCCATTATCAGATGTTCCTTGAAACACCAGTTATCTCTTTCTCTCATTTTCTTGCTTTTTTTCTCCCTCAACTCCCCCCCCCCCCCCCTTGAGAAAAAATCAGGGTAAAATCGGGAAGACAAACAAAAAAATTGGGGAAAAATGATAATCAGAAAATGTTCAGGCCTGAATAGTATAACCATATTGAAACTAGTGTGGACTTGTAATTTATATTGGTCAGTCATTGAATTATCAACCAAATTATATGGACACAATCAAGATAACTTGTGCAGTGTAACAAATCAGTCAAGAAATCAAGCATTGTATTAAAAGACATGAACAATTTTATAAAATGAAATATTTTTATGAACACATTGCAGTTTTACAGTCATCTTTTGTATTTATGAGGGAACTAAAATCATTTTATTTCTTGTAGTATGATGAACAATAAAGCTTTCATATGACAGAATTCAATAAGAAAAATTTAAGAGAACATAACTTCACAGAAAAATGAGAATTATTTCCAAGTAGGTATTACTGGCTCCTTTCTTGTTGTTGATAATGGTTGTATGATTTCTTACATTTGAACAATGTATGTTAATTACTCTGCAATTTTACAAAGCAAATTCAATTTTATAGTGAAGATGATGATATATATATTATTAAAAAAAAAGAAGAAAAGAATTGAAAATGTGAAACACTTGTACACTGCAAATATTACAAGAAAAAGAGTAAATTTACATTGCAACATTGAAATTTAAACTAGTGCACTTTTGACTTTGTCAATCATAACTGAACCATCCAAATAATTACCACAATACAATTTAAATTTCATTTGGAATGAAACGTAGCGTCTTGCTCTTAACATATCCAATCCAGGAATTTATAAAGTGCCAATATCTCGTTGCCTAATCAAAGGCGTTGATATACAATATTTATAAATTAAATGGTGCAAAAGTGTAAGGGTTACATGAATTTAATCATGTGCCTATTACCTAAACACCTAAAGTCAATTACATGTCCCATTTAGACACTTCTGACATTATAGAAGTAGTCTCCCAACATGCTACTTTGGATAAAAGCAGAAAAGTCAGAGAAGTAGGTCAGCGAATGTTTGATTTTTTTATTATCGTCTAAACTTTATTGATTTTATGCTATAATTGTTTGTACTTTGTAGCATTCATTTAAATGAAATTATTGTTAGGGTAGGCAATACATATAAAGGAGAACATCAGTCTCTTCCGATTTCTTGAAATTATCATGAAACTGTCGTGTTTCGAGCTCCATGTCTATGTGGCAAAAGGAATAATTACATGAAGCATTTGAAATCACGATCTCAACCCAATTCTCATAGGCTTTATACAGAGAACACCCGATTCCTAAACGTTATCTCTTTTAGGGAGAAATAGCCACCCCGGTAATGGTGTTTGCTTATCAAATGATCTTGCTGCTGTCTTCAGGCTTATTTGAATTGTGTCATTTGAAATTCAAATGTCACCCTCGACTTCCACTCTCAAATTAACACCATCAGAATTTTGGTTTGGGTGTCTAACCCCACTGTTCATAGTTGCTATATCAGACCTGAGCCAACTACCAGGTTGCTACGCAGAGTACAATAAGTCCAGTACCCACAAAATAAAATGGACAGAAGTACAATGTACAAGACATTCTGTGATTAGGCTGTGAGCATCAGTACAGACACACTACTTTAGCATACAAATCCCTCAACATTGAAGAATCACTATCCCTTTCAAACTGTATCGTAATATTCATCAGCAGCTACAAAATGAGGTGGACAATTATGTGAACATATATTTGAAATCATATTTTATGATAGGAGATTATAACACAATCAACTTTGCAAATTATTTTTATTTTTGTAATTCATTATAAAAGATATTTTTGTTATAAAAAACTGTTATTGTTCACAAGTCTGTCAAAACTTAATTTTAACCTCTGTGCAATGTTAGTACCGGTAGTTGTAGAAGAAAGGTCCTGCATACGGTACGACAGATTAAGAGAGAAAATGCATTCTTTTTTATTTCAATGCACAGTTTTACAGTAATAAAGCTCAAACAGAAATATTCCCCTCACTGGCCCAAAATCAAGGTGGATTTTATCATATACATATATGCTGACAAAATAGGTTTCACATACATTTTGCAATGATTTTGGTTTCGTCTGTGATAACGTGTGCTGTTCATGTGGCCATTTCATTGACGTTTATGTACTGTGGAAGTCATTAATCGGGAACGCCAGGAGTGTCGAGTCTAACAGACATAGGCGCTATACAAGAACCCACTATTATTATTATTAATAATAATAACGTTCTTATGATTCAGGTTAAACCTGGTATAACAAATATAGTCTGTATAAAATTGTTTTCATACAGACATCGAAATAAGATATACAGAAGAAGCGTGGGTTTTACAGCTGACGCTAGAGTACTTCAACTGATGTGCAAAGCTTGTAGCTGGTATAGAGTCTTACGGTAATGGGTAATAAAGAATGAGTTTCACACAAGATCCAATATGTGGTTCTATCGTTGTCACATCTGGAAGTATCCACACCAATGTAACAAGTTTTAGATGTTGAAGGTATAGAATTTGACGTTCCAATTTAGTTCACACAATGATTCCCGAAAAAAGTTTTTACAGTTCAACAAAGCTTTGTGAATTCACTCCACTTGGGAGCAGGGCATGATCATGAATCCCATTGCTTGTGCTCCATACCATCGGGAGGCTTGATGTCTGTCTTCTTGGCACCAATGTCTTTCCAATTAGTGCTCAAGACTGTCCCGGCCGACTCCACCTAGACAAAAAACAAAAAGGTTTTTTTCTTCATCACATTGGATTTCAAGATAAAGTTGAGTACTGGTCATGTGAAAGCAACTTGTCTGGAAGCAATTGGGCAAGGGTGAGTATGGAGTACATACAAATCGATTTATACTGACAGATTTTAAAAAAGTGAAAATAAATTGACTCAATCTAGGTGAATATTACATGCAGTGCATGAAAGTTTGGTCAAAACTTTTCAGCACAAGGGCGTTTGAAGAGCAAACTGGCGACAATTTTGACAACTGACATGCAATGAATGAGAGAGTTCTGAAATTAATTTTCATCTTTACCAGAGATTTATTTATTTAATTATTCTTTGCATACTCCTAATGAATGCAAGACCCCTCTATTGATAGGCTAGCTCTTGTAAGTACACATGTAAAGTTTGATTTGCAAGAAGCACATCACCTCCTCCCCTTCTCATTTTAAAATCCTGGATCTGCCTTCGTTTCAAAGCCACTTTGATCTACTCACAAATGACTTATTCATGGCCTTCTGAGTCTCTTCATCTCCGCTGGCATAAATCTTCTGGAAGAGACTATTGAGGGCCGCCTCCCCTTTGGCGTTTTCCTCCTCCTCCTTCTCAAATTCCTTTGCTATCTGGTCCCAGTTCCTTGTCCCATGACTGGAAGTCGGGTATTTATTGATGTCTACGGCGTTGCTGCAGGCTTCTGCAGTTTCTGCTGGTTATCAAATCAAATGCGACAATTAGATAGGAGCATAGATAATGTGTACGTGGGCAAGTCCAAGCTATGGTTTGGCTTAGTGGTTTGATTTTACTCGACTTCTAAGAAAGCATGTACATACTTGTGAGTAAGGAAACAGGGGACAGATGGCTTAAGCCTTCTCAGAGGGACATGTTAATAAAGATTAATGCCTTACCAAAGGGCACTAGTGCATCAACTAAGGACCTATTGCCTCCTGGTTATGAGACCACTAAGCCTTCTATTTTGTCCCATAAGTTACTGACCACATTGGATTCAGTTAATGGGATTTCTGAGAGCTTGGATAACACCAAATATGAAATGAAATAACACATTTCATGTCATATTTAATGCCGAACTACACCATACTTGGTTATGTATGGAACATCAACTCACCACATACATTGGAGGTGACCATACTAGTCTGCCCAAGGTATCGTATATGCAGTATTATTGTTTGAAATAAATATGTCTACTCAGTATGTCTACTCAGTCATATCATTGGGAAATGCAATACAGTGAAACCATGTCATTATAAAGAAAACTGTAATAACAAACATTTGCAATAACAAACTAGTTCTGCCAGTCCCACTTCTTTTGCAGTTTAGGTACCTTACATAAGAAGGTTTTATAGCAACACAATTTCCCATATTGCAGGGAGTTTGTCACTAGAATTTAATTGTATTGCATCCTGACATAAAACTATGTGTACTTCACTAATTTGATCATCCCAAAAGTGTTCAATATAAGTACCTTTGTATTTCCATTTTTTTTCTATTCTTTTATTTCTTCTTTATCAGCTATGAAGATTGGATTGTTCTTTTAACCAATGTAGGAGAGGTTTGATTGACTACCTGCAGGTTTGACTGCTTGGGTGATACCAATGTAGGAGAGGTTTGACTGCTTGGGTGATACCAATGTAGGAGAGGTTTGATTGATTACCTGCAGGTTTGACTGCTTGGGTGATACCAATGTAGGAGAGGTTTGATTGATTACCTGCAGGTTTGACTGCTTGGGTGATACTAATGTAGGAGAGGTTTGATTGATTACCTTCAGGTTTGACTGCTTGGGTGATACCAATGTAGGAGAGGTTTGATTGATTACCTGCAGGTTTGACTGCTTGGGTGATACCAATGTAGGAGAGGTTTGATTGATTACCTGCAGGTTTGACTGCTTGGGTGATACTAATGTAGGAGAGGTTTGATTGATTACCTTCAGGTTTGACTGCTTGGGTGATACCAATGTAGGAGAGGTTTGATTGATTACCTTCAGGTTTGACTGCTTGGGTGATACCAATGTAGGAGAGGTTTGATTGATTACCTTCAGGTTTGACTGCTTGGGTGATACTAATGTAGGAGAGGTTTGATTGATTACCTGCAGGTTTGACTGCTTGGGGGGATACCAATGTAGGAGAGGTTTGACTGATTGGGTGATACCAATGTAGGAGAGGTTTGATTGATTACCTGCAGGTTTGACTGCTTGGGTGATACCAATGTAGGAGAGGTTTGATTGATTACCTGCAGGTTTGACTGCTTGGGGGGGGGGGGTACCAATGTAGGAGAGGTTTGACTGCTTGGGTGATACCAATGTAGGAGAGGTTTGACTGATTACCTGCAGGTTTGACTGCTTGGGGGGGGGGGGGGTACCAATGTAGGAGAGGTTTGACTGCTTGGGTGATACCAATGTAGGAGAGGTTTGATTGATTACCTGCAGGTTTGACTGCTTGGGTGATACCAATGTAGGAGAGGTTTGATTGATTACCTTCAGGTTTGACTGCTTGGGTGATACTAATGTAGGAGAGGTTTGATTGATTACCTGCAGGTTTGACTGCTTGGGTGATACTAATGTAGGAGAGGTTTGATTGATTACCTGCAGGTTTGACTGCTTGGGGGGGATACATGTAGGAGAGGTTTGACTGCTTGGGTGATACCAATGAAGGAGAGGTTTGATTGATTACCTGCAGGTTTGACTGCTTGGGTGATACTAATGTAGGAGAGGTTTGATTGATTACCTGCAGGTTTGACTGCTTGGGTGATACCAATGTAGGAGAGGTTTGATTGATTACCTTCAGGTTTGACTGCTTGGGTGATACCAATGTAGGAGAGGTTTGATTGATTACCTGCAGGTTTGACTGCTTGGGTGATACCAATGTAGGAGAGGTTTGATTGATTACCTGCAGGTTTGACTGCTTGGGTGATACCAATGTAGGAGAGGTTTGATTGATTACCTTCAGGTTTGACTGCTTGGGTGATACTAATGTAGGAGAGGTTTGATTGATTACCTGCAGGTTTGACTGCTTGGGTGATACTAATGTAGGAGAGGTTTGATTGATTACCTGCAGGTTTGACTGCTTGGGGGGATACCAATGTAGGAGAGGTTTGACTGCTTGGGTGATACCAATGTAGGAGAGGTTTGACTGATTACCTGCAGGTTTGACTGCTTGGGTGATACCAATGTAGGAGAGGTTGATTGATTACCTGCAGGTTTGACTGCTTGGGTGATACCAATGTAGGAGAGGTTTGATTGATTACCTGCAGGTTTGACTGCTTGGGTGATACCAATGTAGGAGAGGTTTGATTGATTACCTGCAGGTTTGACTGCTTGGGGGGGGGGGGGTACCAATGTAGGAGAGGTTTGACTGCTTGGGTGATACCAATGTAGGAGAGGTTTGATTGATTACCTGCAGGTTTGACTGCTTGGGGGGGGGGGGGTACCAATGTAGGAGAGGTTTGACTGCTTGGGTGATACCAATGTAGGAGAGGTTTGATTGATTACCTGCAGGTTTGACTGCTTGGGGGGGGGGGGGGGTACCAATGTAGGAGAGGTTTGACTGCTTGGGTGATACCAATGTAGGAGAGGTTTGATTGATTACCTGCAGGTTTGACTGCTTGGGGGGGGGGGGGGGTACCAATGTAGGAGAGGTTTGACTGCTTGGGTGATACCAATGTAGGAGAGGTTTGATTGATTACCTGCAGGTTTGACTGCTTGGGGGGGGGGGGGGGGGTACCAATGTAGGAGAGGTTTGACTGCTTGGGTGATACCAATGTAGGAGAGGTTTGATTGATTACCTGCAGGTTTGACTGCTTGGGGGATACTAATGTAGGAGAGGTTTGATTGATTACCTGCAGGTTTGACTGCTTGGGTGATACCAATGTAGGAGAGGTTTGATTGATTACCTTCAGGTTTGACTGCTTGGGTGATACTAATGTAGGAGAGGTTTGATTGATTACCTGCAGGTTTGACTGCTTGGGGGGGGGGGGGGGGGTACCAATGTAGGAGAGGTTTGACTGCTTGGGTGATACCAATGTAGGAGAGGTTTGATTGATTACCTGCAGGTTTGACTGCTTGGGGGATACTAATGTAGGAGAGGTTTGACTGCTTGGGTGATACCAATGTAGGAGAGGTTTGATTGATTACCTGCAGGTTTGACTGCTTGGGGGATACTAATGTAGGAGAGGTTTGATTGATTACATGCAGGTTTGACTGCTTGGGTGATACCAATGTAGGAGAGGTTTGATTGATTACCTTCAGGTTTGACTGCTTGGGTGATACTAATGTAGGAGAGGTTTGATTGATTACCTTCAGGTTTGACTGCTTGGGTGATACTAATGTAGGAGAGGTTTGATTGATTACCTGCAGGTTTGACTGCTTGGGGGGATACATGTAGGAGAGGTTTGATTGATTACCTTCAGGTTTGACTGCTTGGGTGATACCAATGTAGGAGAGGTTTGATTGATTACCTGCAGGTTTGACTGCTTGGGTGATACCAATGTAGGAGAGGTTTGATTGATTACCTGCAGGTTTGACTGCTTGGGTGATACTAATGTAGGAGAGGTTTGATTGATTACCTTCAGGTTTGACTGCTTGGGTGATACCAATGTAGGAGAGGTTTGATTGATTACCTTCAGGTTTGACTGCTTGGGTGATACCAATGTAGGAGAGGTTTGATTGATTACCTTCAGGTTTGACTGCTTGGGTGATACTAATGTAGGAGAGGTTTGATTGATTACCTGCAGGTTTGACTGCTTGGGGGGATACCAATGTAGGAGAGGTTTGACTGATTGGGTGATACCAATGTAGGAGAGGTTTGATTGATTACCTGCAGGTTTGACTGCTTGGGTGATACCAATGTAGGAGAGGTTTGATTGATTACCTGCAGGTTTGACTGCTTGGGGGGGGGGGGGGTACCAATGTAGGAGAGGTTTGACTGCTTGGGTGATACCAATGTAGGAGAGGTTTGACTGATTACCTGCAGGTTTGACTGCTTGGGGGGGGGGTACCAATGTAGGAGAGGTTTGACTGCTTGGGTGATACCAATGTAGGAGAGGTTTGATTGATTACCTGCAGGTTTGACTGCTTGGGTGATACCAATGTAGGAGAGGTTTGATTGATTACCTTCAGGTTTGACTGCTTGGGTGATACTAATGTAGGAGAGGTTTGATTGATTACCTGCAGGTTTGACTGCTTGGGTGATACTAATGTAGGAGAGGTTTGATTGATTACCTGCAGGTTTGACTGCTTGGGGGGGATACATGTAGGAGAGGTTTGACTGCTTGGGTGATACCAATGAAGGAGAGGTTTGATTGATTACCTGCAGGTTTGACTGCTTGGGTGATACTAATGTAGGAGAGGTTTGATTGATTACCTGCAGGTTTGACTGCTTGGGTGATACCAATGTAGGAGAGGTTTGATTGATTACCTGCAGGTTTGACTGCTTGGGTGATACCAATGTAGGAGAGGTTTGATTGATTACCTGCAGGTTTGACTGCTTGGGTGATACCAATGTAGGAGAGGTTTGATTGATTACCTTCAGGTTTGACTGCTTGGGTGATACTAATGTAGGAGAGGTTTGATTGATTACCTGCAGGTTTGACTGCTTGGGTGATACTAATGTAGGAGAGGTTTGATTGATTACCTGCAGGTTTGACTGCTTGGGGGATACCAATGTAGGAGAGGTTTGACTGCTTGGGTGATACCAA